CTTCACATGATAAAAATTTTCGATTTTAATTGGCTGAACAAATATGCATGATCGGGATCATCATTTCCTTATTTGGGGGTTGTCTAAAGCGGGGTAACTATTGATCTGACGGTCCTGGGTCGTGCAGATCAATTGACACAAGTAAATGATCGACATGCAGCAGCCAATAGAAATCCATGCAATATTTACCGTAAATCAAAATTGTTAAAATGTTTCAAATTTTGAACGATATCTTGACAACCACCAAGTCAAATTCGATAAACTTTTTTTTATTTGAATTCTATAGATTCATAGAATTCAAAGAAAAAAAAATTCATTGAATTTGACTTGGTGATTGTCAAGATATCTTCGCTCAAAGTTTCAAAAAAATTCAAAACGTCTATCAAAATAGAAGCTGCGCCAAAATTTTTTTAAACTTTGAGCGAAGATATCTCGACAACCACCAAGCAAAATTTGATGAACTTTTTTTTCTTTGAATTCTGTAAATATATAGAATTCAACTAAAAAAAGTTCATCGAATTTGACTTTATGGTTGTCGAAATATCTTCGCTCAAATTTTCAACACATTCAAAATAGAAGCTGTATTAAATTTTCTTCAAACTTTGAGCGAAGATATCTCGACAATTACCAAGTTAAATTCGATGAACTTTTTTTAGTTGAATTCTATATATTTACAGAATTCAAAGAAAAAAAGTTCATCAAATTTGACTTGGTGGTTGTCGAGATATCTTTGCTCAAAGTTCAAAATGTCTATCAAAATGGAAGCTGCGCCAAATTTTTCTTCAAACTTTGAGTGGAGATATCTCGACAACCACCAAGTCAAGTTCAGTAAACCTTTTTTTATCTAAATTTTATAGATTCACAGAATTCAAAGAAAAAAAAGTTCATCGAATCTGACTTGGTGGTTGTCGAGATATCTTCGCTCAAAGTTTCAAAAAATTCAACCCGTCTATCAAAATAGAAGCTACGCAAAAATTTTCTTCGAAATTTGAGCGAAAATATCTCGACAACCACCAGGTCAACTTCGATAAACTTTTTTTATTTGAATTCTATAAATTCACTGAATTCAAAGAAAAAAAAGTTCATCGGATTTGACTTGGCGGTTGTCGAGATATCTTCGCTCAAAGTTTCAAAAAAACATCAAAATAGAAGCTGCACCAAAATTTTCTTCACATTTTGAGTGAAGATATATTGACAACCACCAAGTCAAATTCGATAAACTTTTTTTATTTAGAATTTTATAGATTCTTAGAATTCAAAGAAAAAAAGTTCGTCGAACTTGGCTTGGTGGTTGTCGAGATATCTTCGCTCAAAGTTTCAAAAAATTCAAAACGTCTATCAAAATAGAAGCTGTGCCAAAATTTTCTTAAACTTTGGGTGAAGATATCTCGACAACTACCAAGCCATATTCAATGAAGTTTTTTTCTTTGAATTCTGTGAATCTGTAGAATTCAAAGAAAAAAAAGTTTATCGAATTTGACTTGATGGTTGTTGAGATATCTTCGCTCAAAGTTTAAAAAATTTTTGGCGCAGCTTCTATTTTGATAGACGGTTTGAATTTTTGTGAAACTTTGAGCGAAAATATCTCGACAGCCACTAAGTCAAATTCAATGAGCTTTTTTTTCTTTGAATTCTATGAATCTATAGAATTCAAATAAAAAAAATTTTATCGAATTTGATTTGGTAGTTGTCATGATACCCTCATTCAAAGTTTGAAAAAAATTTTAAAAATTTTGATTTACGGGGGGGGGTATGAATAGCAGCCGCCTAAATTTAAATTTTTTTTATTAAATTATCGAGGCATCAAAATCTTTAGTAATTATCGGCTTAAAGTATAAAGTTCCCTGTGAGAATAATACTCATAAAAAATCTTACATCGAACTAATAAATTTCGGGTGAGTTATAGAGTAAAAAACTTGTAAATGAATCATGTTACAACATAGCTGTGTATATATACTATTTATTAATTTTTGCACATACATTTTTGATTACCTTTTAATAACCACTCTTCATATTAATTTTTAATTTTAGATTTTAAAAAGAAAAAAAAACTTGTAGACGGGATAATAAAAGAAAAAAAAACTTATAGACGAATAATAATAAAATAAAAAAAAAAAAACTTGTAGACGAATAAAAAAAAAACTAACATGTACGTATGCTAGTTTTTACCATTCTAACATATGAATTTAATTCATACAAAAGTTCATCATTATACTGACATATAGCTATTTCAGCAACTTTGACATATTCTAGATAAATTTGTTGAACTATATAATCTTTACTTTCTCTAACTATTTCACCCACCAAAAGTTATCCTTTAGCAATTTCACTATGTGATTCTATCCCGTATGTCCGTATAATGAATAAATGTCTTGTGCCATCTTTTTCAACTCTTATTCGATGCTTATCCTGTCGACTCATTCCATTCCACAACGATATTCAACATATATATATATATATATATATTTTTTTTTTTTTTTAATTTTTTTTTTTTTTTAAATTTTTTTTTTTTTTTTTTTTTTTTTTTTTTTTTTTTTTTTTTTTTTTTTTTTTTTTTTTTTTTTTTTTTTTTTTT